ACTCGCTGTGCGTGCGCGCCATCCCGTCCCGCCCCTTGCTGCCGACGATAAGCAGCTGTGCGCGGGGACGCGGGCGGGGGCGGGTGAGGGATAGGAGGTGTGCGTGTGGAACGGCCGGAGGGGAGGGCGCCGCGGTCGTGGCAGGCTCGGGGCGGGCGCGGGGGCTGGCGCGGACGAGGGGGGAGGGGGGGGGGGGGGGGCTGCCTGCGGCGACGACTCGGCACCCCGCTGGACGAGGGCGTCCACCGCCAACTTGACCTCCTTGCAGATTTTGGAGTTGATGCCCCCCCAAAGGCCCTTGTCGGAGGAGATGGCGAGCTTCATCACCGAAGCGGGCGGCTCCTCCCCCTCCTTGATGCCGATGTGCGGCATCATGAGGTTTTGCACAGAAGCTGCAAACGGGCGCGCGGCAATCATCTCCGACTCGGCTTTACGCAGCTTAGACGCGGCGACCATCTTCATCGCCTTGGTGATCTTCGAGGTGGACGAGACCGACTTGAGCCGCTTCCCCAGATCCTTGATCGAGGGCATATTGCCGCTTAGGCGGCGTAGCAAAAGGCGAAGACGCCGGAGGCAAAAACGCTGAAGAGACGGCCAAAAAATAAACGCATCACGAGAGTCGAACGGGCGGCGCCTGACTCCCTTGGGCTGTCTGCTTTCTTTCTTTCTTTCTTTGAAGGCGCGGGCGGCGGTGCTCGCCGGCGCTCGCGGCGCTTCGGTGCTCGGGCGCGCTCGCCATTATGCTCGTTCAGGGCGGGTCGCACAGCGCCCGCACACGCACACGCACGCACACACACCGACACACACACACACAACACACACACACAAAGAATTCTTAAAATACAAGCCTCTCTCACAGCACACTGGCACGACAAGGGCGCGGGCTGGCGCGCACACAAAGAAGAAAGCTGTCGTGATTTCTTGTTGGTCTTCAAAAATCTCTCTCACACAAACAAAACCCATCCAGGCCCCAAATGACGTGTGAGTGTTAGAGTTGTTTGGTATTGCTAAAAATCTCTCTCTCTCTCTCTCTCTCTCTCTCTCTCTCACACACACACGCACGCACGCACGCACACACACATGCATGCACAGACACACAGCCCCCTTCCCCTTCCCCCCTCAGAC